ATGCGGGTGGCGTCTTGGATTCAATCTCAATTAGCTTAAGCGAGAATTTAGAAAAGCCAGTTGTGTGGTTGTTTAGGTAGCTGATGCTTAAGGCGACATAGGTAATTATTTACCATTCCGTTGCACTAGGTATATCATACCTTGCAGACGAATTGAGGGAATATTGGTGGATTAAAAGTGACATCTAAGCTACAACTCGTCATGATTATTTTAGGCTGACCTTGAAGGATTCTAATATGCATGGTGGTGAAATTTCCAAACATTTTTGAGACCTTGAACCCAGAGAACATGGGAAAGGACTTCCTAATTTTAATGCGAATTTGACGGTGATGGTGGCAATTGATCTGCGTAATTAGAGCGTATTTCTGAACAAATCACAATAAACCCTAGGGCTACTTACTTACATAGTCTTAAGCGTCCGATTGGCCTACGTTTTCTTCGATTCCATCAATTCTGTCTGATAGTATTTAAACTGATACCACTTACAAAGCACCTACAAACTACCTCCATGTCGCAGTTCTAATTCGACGAATTTGTAATCTAAAGAGCCTGTTTCTACAATATGTCCCCTCCCTAACGATTGTAATAGTCACGAGTTGAAATAACCGTTGTTTTCCTAATCTGACTCCCTCCCAGGGGGTGGTAACTTGAATCTCGATCACCCAGTGAGTCGTGCTCTGCGTCGACATACTTGATGTTGAATGCGCATTAGTAATTGGCATTGGTCCTCTTCCGAACACTTTCTCGGCATCTTTTTTTAATTTTTTGAGTAACCTGGCGCATTCACCTAGACAATGGAGCTTCTGAGTTGAAGTAAATAGTTAATTTTCACAACTCTGGCCTTGAGAAGACCAATCAGTAATTGCTTCCGATAAAAGCCCTATTGCGATCACACTTCCTACGATCTCAGCTGCTTGTGGGATCCAGTGATTTGAAATATAAATGAAAGCAATGCATTACCTTTGTGGCAAGTTGGTAGGCGGATACCGTATCATTCCTACAAGTTCGCAAACTGCTTCGGCAGAATCCGCGTTTTCTCCCTACATTCTTTTTCTTGTTTTTTCCCTCTTACCCCCACCAATAAAACATCCACGCTTATTGACTTAGCACTTCTACGGCACACGATACCCCATTGGCCTTTGTTCTTCCTTGACAAGCAACGCGGGTGGTCTGTGTGGGCTGGTTATGCCGAATGGCGCATACACACACCGGAATCTAAAGTCTACACAGTGGGAAAAAGAAGGCAAGTTCGCTGGTTCACTGCTGTTGTGGCCATGATGAGAATTTATGACAACTGTAACTCACTGTGGGCCTTAGTCACACTTGTACAGCGTGTACTAAGTTCGGCGTGCTGGTAACACCGCTCCTCGCCGTGGACTGTGCGCCCTACCTACCGCAGAACTTGTCGACGGAAAGAAGTAATGCACAATTAATCTTACTCATGTGTTTTGTGAAAAGATTCGTGTTTCGTCGGTGCGAGGGGGCGTTTCGAGAGGGACGAAGCTCAATCGCGTAAACACAGGCGATATCGCCGACAGATATTTAGCCGGGAAGAAATTATTACCACCTATCAGGGGGTGGCTGAATGGCCTGCGAAACGCGCCCGCATTAACTAAACCCTTGGTGATCCTTTGGTGATGCCAGTGTAAGAAAGGAAAATCGTTCGGCATCTGACAAGAAGACGATGCCTATTTAAGACCAATTGGCTTCATCAATGGACTGTTGAACTGTAAGGCGTAAAATACACCCGCAATTCAAGAGGCGAGGAACAATTGATGGCACAAACATCTTAAATCTAAAGCAGAAGGTACTAGTAGTAAATTTTAGCATCGAAACAGCAGGACACTTTTAACGGTGCGTCAGCCTAAGCTCTGTTAAAATACCAACTTATCAGAATTCTAGACAGACGTTGATTTCCTAAAGATAACGATGACATAAACAACGATTTTATCTGCCTTGGGACATCCTTATTCTGTTCTAGAGGAGAAGGAAAGTGCGGAAATTCATTGCTAACCGCAAATTTACAATGTTAGTTGAAGCCTTCGCGAATTCTGGAATTGATACTGCCTTTTAATTCATGCCAGGTTAAAATCACATTGTCAACCGCGACATGTGCTGAGTGCTAACCATAATTTAGTACCGCGAGGCTAAATCTAATGGAATCTTAATTCATTAAATTGTACAGCACTTTTGCTAACCAGGTCAGGTACAGAATTGACTGGATTTAAATGCGACCCCTTCTAACTAAATTAACCAGCAAAATGAGTAGAGTCGAGCTTACTGTTTTTTGAATTACAAGCAAAGCAAAATAACAGTTTATCGTAGACGTTTGTTGGAGATTTTTGGTATTTATTGGCATCGTAAAGTTCAGATCCCAAGGCTAATGATTAAATCGCTCCATATTAGTCAATCATTTCGTCTAACCTGACTGTAACCTGTCTCAACCATTTTGACATTGATGACCTCCAGTATTTTAAGACGTGGCAGCAGATTGGAATTTAATTTTTTTAAGCAAGTTCAAATATTTGTGGAAATGTGGCTTTAAAAGAACTAGAAGTAGTTCGAAAAATCCCGGAAACCCTTTCGATCAAACGGGGATTCTGGCTAGCTAATTGTACCTGGGGAAAACACTTACAAAGTGCTCGAATTACTTGCAGTTGGAAACACTTGCTTCACAATTTCGGAGACCACTATTCCACAGCTTAAAATTTCGTTGTTTACCCCAATTAATGGCTACCCAAACCATAAAACCCTGGCAACGATTAAACGCCCTCGCCTATTTGATGACCTCCTAGAGATATATACTTGACCAAAAATAACTTTGCTTTGATTTGCTTTTTAGGTCTTTAAACAGTACCTTGCCGGCACTGGAATTTGTTTTTCAGAGTGACGTGAGATGCTCTGCAAAATTTTGCACCAAACTATAACCTTTCCTAACACCCCAGTCCAGACAACCCCACAGTTAAAATTGGCACTTCTTCAGCTTAAATTCCATCAAGAAACCGAAACCAACCTGGATATCGGGGATTGTGGAATGTTGCTTTGTTGGGAATGTCAACAATTACCATGGCAACTACAATTCAAGCAGGTCTGTCCACAGAATTACAGCTCTACAGTTACGCCACACCATTGTTCACACTAAGCATTCATCACTTAGTGGAAAGGTCTCTGCACAAGCTCCAGTCTTCCCAAATTCTGTGAAACCTTCGACGTGCCGAACGAAGGGTTCCAAATATTAGCCTTGAGGATTTGCAGCCACATACCGGGAAAAACGCAAGATGACTCAATTAGCTCGGCTCCCAGATCTAATAGATGCGTTGCGGTACTGCACTTTGTTTGCTTCACAATTGACAAATATTTGAAAACTTGTAGGTCATTAGCCTGTACTTTTTACCCCTACCATCAATCTTTTGCAATAGTTTAAATCATTTTTTTAAATTATTAAATTAACTCTAGGCGTTATGTTTACGTTTTTGCACTGTTACCGTAGCCAGTCTGTCGGATTTTCTAATCGCGAATTTTTTTGAAAAAAAAAACATTGCACTGGCAAGTGGTGTTCCAGTATGTTTTTTTGCCTGAAAGCACGTTGGAAACGTTTGTGGAACTTCTGATGGAATCCCACCCACCTCGCCAGTCGGTTACTCCCTGTTGGCTGAGTAATCCTCCTGTCGCCATGGTTTTTTGACCTAGCGACAAATTTTCCCTGTTAATTTTTAACAAGAGGGTGCAAATTTGAACAAAAAGCCTATCTGCGATACAAATCAAATGAGCATTTTGGAAATGAGCAAGACATTTTGGTAAATATTCTCAACAAGGCAAATTACCACATAGGAGTCCTATTTGATTATAGGTATTGTAAAATGCTAAGTGATAGCTTGTTAACAGATTTATTTCCTCTGGAACAAATCGTGAAAATGGACTTCATTTGATTCTGCTATTTCTAAAGCTACCATGGGAAGTGTTGCCTCTGGTTTTCGATCTTCAGAGCAAGTGCAAACAAATAGACATGAGCAATCTTTTCTGCTTTCTCATGAGCTGATACAACCAATGCAGAAAAGAAATATTTCCCTTATCCACACAGATTTTAGGAGACAACAAAACAGCAACTGGATGTTTTTCTTCTGAGTCCGAAATGTCGAAAAGAGGTCACCGAACAATCGTGGAAGCGTTTGGTGGTCATGGAGAGCATTGGATGGGGCTGATCAATTTTGAGTTGATCCAAGCATCACTCAACTTCGGCCAAATAGCCGTTCACGTGTAGGCGCAGCTCATACAATTCGGCATTTTCATATTTCGGATTCCACCAAACAGTCAGGATTTGCAAATGCCTTCGTCCACCAGGCCAATCACTGCTACCTCTCAGAGATGCTATTCAGTCAAGGACATGACTCAGAAAGTAAGTTATATCAAAGAGGTTATGAAATGATCAGCCTCACCTCTGGTGTCACACAACTTATTTCAGTTCCAAACAAGTCCCATTTTCAGGAAATGGTTCCTCCAACGCCTAGTATATAACTTAGAGTTGGGTTAGCAAATCTTTTGTTGATTAACTGGTAAAGCACTTAGATTTTTACATTACCCTTTGAGTTCCTGTTCAATTAGGTCTACCGTGGCCGTTTCTCCTTTGGTAGTTCTCATCATAGTCATGGATATTTCTGCAAGTACATTAATTAACAGAGGATGTAGAAGATCTACCATCTGACCACAAAAATGGGGCCCCATCACCGCTATTTTTTTTAATCTGAACGGAGTCGAGCCAGAACTTCAGCTGGCGTGTACTGATGCTTCTGTCCCACACAATCCCGTCCCCAACACCTGAATTCCGGCTGTGAAGTGTCAATGACTTTGCACCTTTCGATCAATTGTAAAGAACCGTTTAAAAATTGGCGCTACCTTCTCATTTTACAGATTTCTGTAATTTTTGTTTTGAAAGAAACTGCGTTTTTTCTTTCAATTTTTTCAATTCTTTCAACATTTTGTGCTGGACTAAGCTTGGTTTCTCACACACACGAAGTCATCGCCTCCAAGGTGCTCTCTCCTTCGGTGCCAACATTCAAGGCCTGACTGTCAAACACGGAAGAGGAGGAGGAGGACAGCTGGAGAGCGGTGATGGGGCACGCACAAGTAGGCAGGGGAATGGTGCAAAAGGTCACATCCTGCTGGGCTGGTGGCAGCAGCAGCAGGTGCAGGCGACTGGACAGATAATGTAAATAGATTTATGATAAATTTAGGCGTGAACACGCAAAATTTTCTTGTCGGGAGATTTATAAGAAATGGAAGTCGCTGTGATTAACGAAGCCTGACAACGTCACAATCGGGTCTGTTTCGGCACGACGTTGACAAAATTAGTTGAATCGAAGCGCATCGTGATTTGTGAGTTCAAATTTGTTATACGTTGAATGAAACCTACCTTAAATATTGGCTGGCTTTTGTACCCTTTAAGTCCTTTGAATGTGTGCTGAATGAAATGCTGGTACCAACCCATTTTGACAGAAAACCAGGACAACGTTTGCAAAAAAGTGAAATGCTTAGGCAGTTTTTCACTTTCTCATTTAAAATAACAATTAATCTAAGTGAAATGGCTAAGTGCAATGAGGAACAGCACTCTAAACACCAACACTGGGGTAGGCACAAAACGCGGCTCTTAGACCAAAAGTTAATTTGTCAAAAATGTCAACCTTGCAATATTGTGGGTACTGGCAATATACCTTTAAACCGCAACAAATTGGGCCTCAGCCAATGATAAAAGCATGTTCCTAGATTCGTTCATAATTAGCAGTTTGCTTAATCTGTCTTGAGTCAGAGCAACCCTCAATGAGTTTATCAAATGTCAATTATGTGTAAGGCAGGTGTTCAAAATGAAAATTCGGACGTTACATTTGCGGCACGTCTGGTTACATGAGTTTAAAAGAGACTGAGTGTTCCAAAAGTGCTAAAATATACTCAAGACGTTTATTTCGATCACTCTTCCCTTTTTAGGGTGATCAAAATATCGTTTTGTCGACGCAAAGTGATGATTTCAACCTAAAGGGTAAACTCCGTTCTGGATGGCCCTCCGCCATTGATGGTGACTTG